GAGCAGTCCATTCATTCAACAAATGTTTCCTGTGTGCCAGCCAACTGCTGGGCACTGTGATCGATAGCCAGGATGCAATGGTGAGCAAAACTGACCCCATGTCTGACATCACGGAGCTTATGATCTGGTGGAATGGAACTCTTTTAAAGCCTGGGAGTGATGAGGGCCTTAACAAGAACAGCAGTCATGAATATGGAATAGGGGAGATTTATTTCAGAACTATTTGGGGGTCAAAAATAGACAAGATTTGGTGACTGATTGAATGGGGAGGTGGAGAGAGATAGAGACAGAGAGAGAGCATATGAATGGCTCTCAGATTTATTCCATGGGTGGATGATGTGATACCTACTAGGATATAGAATTAAAAAGAATGAGTAGGAGGTTTGGTGGAGACATGAACAGTTTAGCTTTGGACTTGTTGAGTTGAAACAAGTCCACTTTTGGACTTCTTGAGGTGGATGTCTTTGCATGGAGATGGTTTCGCAGGTAGTTGGACATACAAGTCTAAAGACCAAAGAAGAGATTCAGACACGTACGTTTGGTAGCATATAGGAAATCAAACCACTGTGGAGGAAGGAATTATCCAAGGAAGACCTGGAAAGTGATAAGAGGACCTGACGTCTGTCCAAATTTAAGGCATAGATTGAAAAAGAGTGAATAATAGAAGAAAAAAAAGTCACCAATGGGTAACTTTATTTAGGAAGGCAAGATAGTTTTTGAAGTTGTGATTTGTTTGTTGGGATGTTGGTGGCACAGTGACTAATGAACAATTCAAATTCGTTCCCTAAGCACGCGGTGCCTCTGGAACATGAGCCATGCATTGTGCTGAGCTAGGAAAGGAGAAGACAGAGAAGATTAAGATACCATCCTCGGCCGGGCGCGGTGGCTCAAGCCTGTAATCCCAGCACTTTGGGAGGCCGAGACGGGCGGATCACGAGGTCAGGAGATCGAGACCATCCTGGCTAACACAAGGAAACCCCGTCTCTACTAAAAATACAAAAAAATTAGCCGGGCGGGGTGGCGGGCGCCTGTAGTCCCAGGTACTCGGGAGGCTGAGGCAGGAGAATGGCGGGAACCTGGGAGGCGGAGCTTGCAGTGAGCCGAGATCGCGCCACTGCACTCCAGCCTGGGCAACAAGAGCAAAACTCTGTCTCAAAAAAAAAAAAAAAAAAAAAAAGATACCATCCTCACTCCTGGAGGAGCCTGCAGTCAGGAGAGATTATTGCTTCTATTTTACTACCAGATGCCAGTAAGATTGCCTTAGAGATTGAAAATACCATACGTGGAATCAGAAAAAACCCCAAACAACTTATTTTGAAGTGTTCTTAAGAAATGATAGAAGGAAATGGGGGTGTTCTAGCTGTCAGAGAGAGAAGATATGGGGAGAATCATAGCTTGCTTCAAATATTTTAAACGGCTGTCTCTTGGGGCCCTAGAACTAGAAAAAACATGAGCAAAAATTAAGTTAGTTTATATATTATATAAGTAAGTCAGTCAAGAAGAACTTACTGATGGAGTGAAGTTTCTAGGGTCTGCCTCCATTTATGACAATAGAAATAGTGTCTGGAGGACACTGGCTGTCAATGACAAGTTAGAATGTAGTTTCAATGATCTTTCAGGTCTTTCCAGCAAAAGACTTTTTTTTCCCCAACAACTTCTTTGTTGTTGTTGTTGTTATTGTTTTGTCTAGCCCTGTGACCATCTCCTAGAGCAGTGGTTCTCAAATTTTGAGAGCACTGCATACCTGTTTGAGAATCTGATAAAAAGTTATGAACCCTATCCCTTGGGAAAAATATGCAAGTATCCACATAAACCCAAATATTGTTCCAACAAGACCCCCCTAAAATCTTCCATAGGCAATTCTGGACCTCAGGTTAAGACCTCTTGTCTTAATGGATTGCCAGTAAGTGAGAACACAGCCATTGCTTACTCTGAAATTATATACATTGAAGAAAAAAGCCTCTTTGGGACTTAATTTAAAAGCATGACTAAGGTTTTTTATTCATCTAATGCCATGCATTCTTGATTTTATTCTGTCAGCCTTCCACTATAAGTGGCCCCAAGCAACTCACAACTTCACAGATATGTATATATAATCAGATGCACATATTTTATTTTAAAAATAATAATGATGTTGTCTGGTATAACCGCATATAGTTACAGAGAGAGGTTATTGTAACTGAATTTCTCTGTAGATGTATTTGGGGGGAGTTCGTTCTGATTAGGGCTGTCTTACATATTTATACTAGAAGAGTTCATGAGCTATTTCTGATACTTAGACTTTAATCATGCTTAATGAACTGAACTAAGCATAATTCTTGTTCTGTTTTTGTAACTTTGTGGATTTCTTCTAATGCTCAGTTTCATGTGACTACATCATTCTTAAAATGCTAATACACAAAAATGCTAATTCAAGGAAGGAGCACAAAAGTTAGATTTCACTTCAGAGAAGTGCATTCAGTATTCACAGGCCCTCCGGAAGAGCAAGGCTGTGAGAAGA